ACTACTGACTTGGGATCTTTCATGTTTTTAATGCAGGGATTTACAGCTATCAATTTCCCTCTGAGCACTGTTTTCACGGCATCTCTTTATTTCCTTTCCTTTTATTTTATTTTCAGGTTGTGATATCACTTGTCTTTGAAAATTATTGCTATCCTTTCTACATTTTTTTAAAACCACATTTTATTCATCCATTCATCAGTTGATAGACATTTGCGTTGTTTCCACTTTGGGACTACCCTGAATATGTTGTTACAAACAGTTATGTATAACTTTTTGAGTGGATATATGTGGTCAGATCTCTTGGGTATATACCTAGGAATGAATTGCTGGGTCACATGGTAACTTTATGATTAGCCTTTGACACTCAAATATTTAACAGCGATATAATAATATTATCTGACGTAGATATATTCATATTACCCCAATCGTACCAATAATGTCCCTTATGGCTGTTTTGAAATGGAGCTAAAATTTATATATGGTGAAGTTCACAGATCTTAGGTGTATGTGCCAATGAATTACAAAAAATATATGCAGCTGTGCTACCATCACCCCAAACAAAATATAGAACATAGTCATTGTCCCTGAAAGTTCCCCTTTCCAGCCACTCCCCACCTCCTTCTACATCTTTTCTTATTTTGGTAATGAACTTCTGGAGATGGTCATAAAAGACTAATATTTATTTCAACTTAAGAATTTGCAAAACACATGCCCTTCACTTTTTTAACTTGGAGGCAGACTGGGTAGGAAGGGGGATCAGGAACATTGGAGCTAAACAAACCCTGCTCCTATCCTGACTCTACCATTTATTAGCTGCATACTATGGGCAGGTGAGTGATAACTCTGAATCTCAGTTTTCTCAAATGTAAAGTGAGTCCTTGGTGAGCTAGAACAATGTATCCGAAGCACGTGGCACCATGGGGAGACCTGCCAAGCATTAATTCCCTCTCTATTTCCTCTCTCTCTTCCTTATTTGATTCTCAAAACCACCTCCATTGAATCGTTTATTCACCCAACAAATGCTCATTGAATATCAACTGAGTGTTATGTGCTAAGCCCTGAGGAAAGAGTGTGAATTAAAATAGCCACTGTCCCTGCCTGCACAAAAGTTATGGTCAGGAGGGGAGAATGGGAGATGGGGTGCTACTCAAATAACCATATAGAGTAAGGTTACGAAGACGTATCCAGTGCTCCGAGAGGGTGTAATGAAGACTCTCTTTCTGGCCTGCTGATCAGGGAGGACAACTGAGAGGAGGTAACCCTTTAGCTGAAAACCGAGTAAACAGAACAGAGCAAGGCAAGACTTCTAGGGAACAGAGGAGGGCTTTCCAGGCAGAAGACATAGGGTGTGCAAATGCCCTGCGGTAGAAGAGAGCATGGTGCATTCAAGCACCAAAAGGAAGGCCCAGGTAGCCACACAGCAAGGGGTCAGCTGTGGCTGAAGATGGTGAGAACTAGACCTCACAAGGCCCATTTGGCCATGGTTAGAAACCAGGTCTTCAGTGCAAGAATAAGGTGGAGCCATGGGTGGCTCTTCAGCAGGGGAGGGGGCAGTGGCAAGACGTGGCCCGATTTGCCTTGGGAGAGAGAGGAGGAGCACATCTGGAGACCGCAGGCCCTGGAGACTTGGAGATGGTCTGCACATGGGGAGGGAGGGACGAGGAGGACACCGCGGTTTGTGAGCTGTGGATGACAGCAAGGCCGGGTGGGGCGGGAGCTCCCAGAGGGGACCAGGGCTGAAGGGTGGGGAGGACTTGGGTACTGTTACCTCCATTTTGAGTGGTAGAAGCTGAGGTTCCGGTTACGGTCAGAAAGCTGGAGGAGGTGGGGAGGGTCTGGGCACCTGTGGGTGCTGAGAAAACGTCCCTCTGGTGCGCGTGTGGCGCACAGTGGGGGTAGGCGTTAGGAATGCTCCGCTGCCTAAGATTGGGGAGCGTGCTCCTGTGGGTGTTCTGGAAGGATCTCATGCCTCGTAGGGAAGACAGAGCCAGCACAGATGAAGCCAAGAAACTGTTTCCTCAAAGCACAAAAATACCCTCGGTGGCAGCCACCCTGCTCACAGTGTGCAGACCTGGCACCAGGAGGTGCTCAGTAACCAGCGACCCTCCGCTGAGGCTGGCCCAGCTCCCGCAGGGTCCTGGGGGCCACGGAGGGGAGACTTTACCCGCTTCCTCTCGCCCTCCTCATGGCCACCTCAGATTTAAGAATAGTGGTGTCTTTCTGAGACAAAAAGGAAAGGGAAGGTGAACTTTTTTGAGTATTTAGTATGTACCGAGACTGCATTAGGCCTTTATGCCTATTGTGAGGATTTAATACTAGATTGACTTGAAGAGTGAATGAATTTCTGTTTGAGGTTCAGAGAGGGGAGTACTTTTGCTTAAGGGCACACAGCCGGCAAGTGGCAGGGACAAGGTTCCAACGTGGCTGTCCAGGCCCTCAGCATGAGCCCTTCCCACCATGGGTAAGACAGGAGCTAGGTATTGGAACAAAGAGGTCAAGTTTGGTTCTGAAGCCTCCAGGTGTTAGGAATTCGAAAAAAGTGAAATGGCTGCTGATCTAATTGCCAAGGTTGAATTTCAGTTTCCAAAGCACTGCCCCCTCTTGGGGTGGAGGGAATATAATTCTCAAGCTGGGAAAATAATTGCCTCCCATTTGAACGCTTGGCAATTGGTTGCAAAAGGTAATTAGCACTGAATGCTGAAAATAGGGAGAAAGCGAATCTTGGCTGAGGGCCACCGGGAAGTGGCAACAAATTATGGTTCTTTTAGAATTACAAATATCAACAGGCCAATTCATGGATTATATTGGGTCATCTTCTCCCCAGGAGCTCTGCTTCTCCCCTGCTCTCTAGAGCCCTCTGTGTCAGACTAGCGGGAGAAAAGTAGGGCACCTTCACCCTCGTCCCTCCCTGCTTGTAAAGAACCCAGAACCTGGTAAGCGTTTCAAGACAGTGAAGCTTGGCCCCCATTCTTATTCACAGGCTCCTCCCAGACCCCCCAGTAAATTAGCGGTCTGTGGGAGGAGCTGGCCCCTATGGGAGTCTGTCTCAGCCCTGGAAGGCATCTGTGGTGCGCAGGGCACCTTATACGAAGGAAGTATTTACTGAACACTCAACACACGTACGGCATTCTGCTAGGTGTCTTGCGGGTAACAGGACACTGAGCCCTCTCTCTCCCCCATGGAGCACATGGCATCACAGAACCCGGAGTAGGAAACCGTTTGGTGTGGTAGCAGGCATGGTCTTAACCCCAAGTTAGGTATCGAGAAGGCTTTCCTTTTTCAATTTTATTTTTAAGATTTCATTTATTTATTTTTAGAGGGGGAGGGAGGGAGAAAGAGAAGGAAAGAAACATCAATGTGGGAGAGATACCTTGATCAGTGGTCTCTCACACGCCCCCACACCCCAACTGGGGACCCTGACCACAAGCCAAGCATGTGCCCTGACTGGGAATCGAACCAGTGACCTTTGGGTTCGCAGGCCGACACTCAATCCACTTACCCACACCAGCCAGGACTCCTTTTGCAATTTTATTTCAATCAGTCTGGGCCACCATATCTTTGACACCTCCCTATCACTTGCTAAAGCCTTTGGCAAGCAACAGATCAGGCTAGAATTCATTTACAGTCACGGTGGTTACCTCCTATTTATGTCAAATGAGATTGTTTTTCCATTTACAATAGTGATTTAATTGTAAAATAAATCTGTTGGAGTTTTAAAAAAAGAAAGAGTGCACCCACTTGAAGAAGCATATCAACAAGTAAAAGTACAGATGGGGACATGCGGACATGCCAACAATTATCTAGAACTAAGCAAGAGGAAACACACTGCCCCCCACCCAGCGCCACAGACTGGGAACTGTCTGTGGAATCCCTGTCCCACCTAGTTCCCAAATTCCCCAGAGAGCAGATTTTTCCTCTTGGCCCAGGATCAGCTGGCAAAGGACCTGCTTGTGATAAAAGAGTAGTTAACAACCTTAATATTGTTTTCTGTGGAAACTGTTTTCTTCCCTCCCACCCCACCCCGTGGCGGAAAAATTAATATAAACAAAACCACTTGGACTCAGTTAACGCTGGATGAGTTGAGTGTTGTTTTGCAACTAAGGTCTCGAGATGTTTTAAGGTACAGTGATCACAAAACAGCAAAGCCTTCCACCCAGAGACACAGGGAAAGAGCTGATGACTTGGCACCTGGCTCCCCGCATGAGGGCCCGCTGTAGACCTTCAGATGCCCGAGCCCTGTGGCGCCCCTTCTGACCTCTTCCCAGGTAACCTGAAATATAAACAACATCAAAGCGTGAATGCGTACCTAACAGGTATGCCTAAATTAAAACTAGTTTCTACTTCTGAATTTTAAATTTACCTGGATAAAATTGTCAACATGAACTTTTGTTCTTGGGTGTTGTTTGGATTTGGGGGTTTCTTCTACTTTCCTGGCACCCTGGGCACAGTTTTTAGCCTAACGACTGATTGCTAAGGGCAGATGGAGATAGGGTGGGAGGAAGACCCGGCCCAGCTCAGACAGACTGTCACTCAGCCCAGGTGCAGAATGTTGTCACTTGTCAACATTCAGGTGTCATTTGTCAGCCAGACATCAGCCTTTTAGCCAGTTGGTCAGGTACCTGTCCCATTGCCCAGCATCAGCTGGATCCTCAGCAAGCAATTACGAGAGTTTACTCCACACAGACCCTCTCTGTTGAGGATACGGAGAGATCAGGAAACACAGGTGTATAATAGCCCAAGAATAAGGAATATCATAACACACAATAGCTAGGAGACACCTCATTCCTCGTCCATCAGAGCAGTGCATGGCCCAAGACCATGCCTTGTCCTACTCTGTCAGTTTACAAAAAAGGGAATAAAATTTCACTGTTACCATAGGCTCCTGCAAAGGAGGGACTAGTGTGTGTGTGTATAGGTTAGTTATGTAACTTAATGTAATTTGTTGAAGATTTGCTGGAGAAGAGAAGATGGAGTCAGGTCTTGGTGGAGCTTTTTTAAAAAAAAATATGGACCGCTTCTGGAATTTGCGTGTCATCCTCGCACAGAGGCCGTGCTAATCTTCTCGGCATTATTCCAATTTTAGCATATGTGCTGCCGAAGCGAGCACTTGGTTGAACTTTTTAGGCATGGCGGGGAGATGGGGGAAAGAGAACTTGGTAGGCAGCATACGTGGCAAACTCTGACCTGTCTCCCTTGCAGTCAATGGTTGGCTGGTTTATGAACAGCTTCTGTATCTGAATAAGGGCAGAGGCGCCGAGGTTGGTACTTCGGAGAAAATATTTCCCTGAAAGCCCTGCTCCAGGTCTGCTTTGCTGTAACCTTGACAAGCCTGGGCCTGGAGATGACCACGCCCCCGCCCCCCTCCCTGCCCCACTGCCCTCGGGAAAGCAGCGCTCCTGCTCTGAGATTGGTGGCCACGGAATTGTTTTTATAGGACGTTTTGGCCAACTTTCTTTTTGTTTCTTACCCCTGGAGGAAGTCAGATGATATCAGGAGAAGGAGGGTATTGTGGTGTCAACCAGCTTTAGAGGTGACCTTAAATGGATGTCATTCTGGTGCCTGCTCTAGCCACGCACATGGGCACATGCCCATGGGCTTTAAGTAGGAGAAATAAGGGAGTGGTTTGGTTGTGCTTCTTTCCCTGGAGAAATAAGAAGCTGGATTATTTGCTGCTCACCTGAGGGAGAAGGAAGGAAGTGAGTTTTCATGGGTAGGGTATTTCTGCTAACACAAACGAAAAACTTGGGTGGGGAGAGATTGTGAGGCTGTCACTGGAAATTCCAGGTATCTCCCTGGGTTCAGGAGAGTTGAACTCTGCCAGGGCCCTCTGGTGCTGGCAGCGGGAACTGGGACGAAGAAGAGTGGAGCTATCTGCTCAGTGTCCAGGGCTGCCGGTCGCTCTCACCCCGGTTTCTCTGACTCACTGCTGTCTTCTCTCTCTCAGCAGTCATGCTCAGCTTCCTCGGGCTCCACGTGGCTCCACGTGACTCCTGTACCCAGGAGAATCTGACCTTTCATCTTTCTCGGTCAAAACTGCCATCCCCTCAGAACTTCTGAGTCGGATTCCGATGGTGGAGTCAGAGACAAATCCAGACACTGGCTGAACCTGATCCAATGAGCTGTGTCCAGATGAGTGGAGGTGTGAAGGCGTGTCCTGGATGGCTATGTAGACCTACAGGTGTAGCAGCAGCAGGCCCTCCAAGTAAGTGTGGTAGAGCTGAGTGTGCCCTCTCAGTTTGAGAGCCAAGAAGTAGAAGTGGTTTATGACAGAAGAAAGTGGAATAATGGCACTTCATCATCTAGGCCTTCGGTCCCATTCACAGGCCAGTCCCTTCTTTAGGAGCTGCTGTGTTGGCACTGCATGACCCCATCCCTGTTTGTAGCTGATTGGACAAGGAGTGGGTATGTGACCCAGCTGGGCCAATCCAGCTGGCTCTCTTGAGTCCTGGAACTACAATGCCTTCATGTACTTGCTGGGCAAATCCGGGGAGCCAGGTCCTGTTGGAAAGACTGGGAAGAGGAGAAAGTGGGTCTGCAGGAGAAGAGAATGGAACAAGTGCAGAGAGTGGAAACCTAGAGATAGCAAATGAAGTGGATTGGTCCATGATCAAATCCCTGCTTCCAGTCGCTCTGGAGCCTGGCTACCTCCCTGCCTTTGGCAAACTTTCTTTTAATAAATTCCTTTTTTCTGTTAGTCTAGTGGAGGTGTTTTCTATTACCTGCAACTAGAGTTCTCATCAATACAGACATCTAATAAAATAATAATAGCAATAGCTGATATTTATTGAATGCTTATTCTGTGCCATACACTCTTCCAAGGGGTTTATATGGATTATCTTATTTGAACCTTTCTGCTGGGAAACACCCTGCCTGGTTTCAGGAACTGTAGCCTCGCTGACAGGTGAGGGGGCCCCAAGACTGGCAATAATCAAGGAGGCCTTAGCACAGCAGGCCACTGAGGAGACGAAACCTGGCCCCCCTGCCCCTTCACATCACCCTGTTTGGCCCTATGACGGTCAGTTGTTGATGACAGGTAAGTTCTCTCACTAGGAGAGGCGACCTAAGCCAGACATCTGCCGGTACGGGCAGCAGACAAGGACTTGGGAGACATGGAGAAAGAGCAAAAAGGCCCACACCCCTTGGCTTGGCTTGGATAAGGCAGGAATCCTCGTTCTATCTGAAAGAAGTCTCCTTATCTCTTGGTGGCTCTGCCCTGCCCACCTGGCACAGGCTTGAAACAATACTAAAGGCAGGTACAGCCCTAACCTGGATGGGGCAGTTCCCGGGGACAATCTGGCCTAGAAGTAAGTTCCTCTAAGCATGCTTTGTTCTTCTCTCAAAAGCGATGATAACTGGCTCACCCTGGGAAGGAGATTTACATTATTTGTAGACCCTGACCTGAGGCAGATCTCCTGTGTTCCTCTAATTGTTATCCATGATCTCTATTTGTTTTCTGTAAACATAGCCTTTTGACATTGATGGATGAGCTTTGCATCTATACCCCTGTGCATATGGTTCTCAATAAAAGCCTTTGGACACAGGGGCTTGGGGCCTTCTTCTCCACTAGAGGGAAAAGCCATGTCCCCTCTCCTGGTAAACAGAGAAGTGTTTGTGACCGCTTGTGTTTATTCCCCCCATCTGTGACAACCCCGGGACGGGCTCTGCGGGATTCAGAGCCCCGCTCCCTCCTCAGCTGGCTCCGGAAAGTAACCCTCAGATCCAGGGGCGCCTGCACCCTGTGCTCCCCCGCGGCGTATCGCTCCCCACGACACCTTTCAACAATTCCGTATGGTAGGTGTTATTATTCCCATTCAGCAGCTGAAGAAACCGAGGCACAGATAGACTCACCAGCTCAAGGTCACACAGCTCAGTGGAGCCAGATTTGAGCCAAGGCTGTCTGACTTCAGAGTCTGGGCCATTCTCCGCTGCTACAGCGTTTTTGGCTGTGATCGCTGGGAGAAGGCCGGAGCCCACCCATGCCTCCAACCCTGCACCGACACAGAAAACTGGAGGAGCTGGCAGCTGACATCGAGTGTTTGCCCTCTGCCCGCCCTGCCCTGAGCACCCACCCCTATCTCCAGAGGCTGGAGTCCCTGGGTTTCCATGACACTGCACTTTGGGATGGTAATCATTAAACTCATCGGTCTTCCTTCCTTTGAGTGCCCAGAGACCTCTGGAACCACCTAGGGGGAAGCTGGCAAGGGACTGGCCTGCTCTGGAGGCGCGGCACATGGCCGCTCTCACCTTCGAGGAGTGCTTGCGGGGCACTTCGTGAATAAGAAGAAGCAGCAGCAGCAGCAGCAGCAGCAGCAGCAGCAGCAGCAGCAGCGCATCCTCCCTCTCCCCCAGGGAGGCTGAGGCACCACGGGGAGGGGCCGGGGCTGCGAGCCGCGTCCTGGCTGCCTGCCCTTGACTTGGTCTCCAAGCTTGTATTTCATTATCTGTAGAATAGGGATCATAATAACCCCACCCAGAGGAGAAAACAAGGTAACACAATCAGGACAGGACTGGGAAAGATGCTTACGTGTTGAGACAAGCAGTGGCCCTCAATGGGTACCCTGCAATCCCATTCTTTTAAAGTTTTTGTTTTGTTTTGTTTTGAAATCTGTAAAGGTAAACACCAAGGCGTTCAGTGGGATATCTCTACGTGATGAGATTTCAGGGCATTTCAGTTTAAGTTTTCTTTTTGCAATGAAACTTCCTGGCACGAACATAGAGGATTTATAGATTTAAAACATTGTACTTTACACATATAACATATTTTTATTATTATTTACTTCAAAATGCTTTGGCAAGCATAAAGCTTATAAATGCAAGAGTGTAGGTACTTGCCCGTCTTTTTTTTTTTTTTAAAGATTTTATTTATTTATTTTTAGAGAGAAGGGAAAGGAGGGAGAAAGGGAAACATCAATGTGTGGTTGCCTCTTGCACGCCCCCTACTGGGGACCTGGCTCACAACCCAGGCGTTGTGCCCTGACTGGAATCGAATCAGTGACCCTTTGGTTTGCAGTCCGGCACTCAATCCACTGAGCCACACCAGCCAGGGTGGCACTTGCCCAAGTCTTAAAGCCTCTGAGTGGGGGACATTTGTGAGCTGTCTTCCCGGCAGCCACTCCCCTCTTCTCCTTTGACAGCAGACTGGGTGAGCTGGACCCTACACCGTCTCCATTGGTGGGTCTCGATTTGTTCTGTTCTGTCAGTCATTGTGGTGACTGGATTAGGGACCCCCGGAGGGAGGTTTGGTCTGCAACACTCCATTCCAATACTTGTGTTTGTTTGAGGAAATAGATTTCCACGTTTTGGGTATATTCTAGATGACTTCCACATGTTACCTGGAACCTCCATCTGGGTGAGATGGGGGCCAAGAGGGAAGAGGAGGAGCTGAGATGGAAAGAGGGAAACTGTGTCCCAATGAAGTCACTTGTGCCACTGGCAAAAGCCTCTCCAGGAGGTAGACTTTTCCATTTCAAGGACCATTTAGTTTTCCTTTATTTTCAACAATAGGTTGTTAAGTGGGATAGTCTATTACTTACAAGTTGCTAACTGATAAAGAAACTGGGACCAGAAGTGGAATATTGCAAGTGATAGATTCTCCAGTGCGGGTGGGGCTGCGGAGGAAGGCAGAGCATGGGTGGGCTCCAGGCCCCAGGCTGCGAAGGCGATGAGGGAGTCTTTCACATTGCCGTGTGCTGAATCTTGGAATTCAAACCAGGTGCCTGCAAGGCTGCCTTTTAGAAGCCTTGTGGGGAATTTTCAGGATTTTGGAATAGTTGACTGTTTCTCTTAGTCATTTAAATTCTTACAAGAAAGAGATATGATTCCTTTGAAACGGGCCTGCTTGAACAGAAAGAGGAAAGAACATGGGCTTTGCTAAGAGAGCCCCTTCATACTTGAGGCCTGCAATCCGAGTTGATGGCGAGTCCAGGATTCCAGCCAAAAGGCTGAATTCTCTAGGCCAAGCTACTGTACACAGTGTAAGCAGAGGCCAGGATGTGGGAGACTTAGCAGGATATCAAACTGAAGATTCCTCAGGTCCCTCCCAAGCACATCCCATTAAGCATTCTTTATCTGACAAGGACACTCAACTCCTATTCTCATGCTTCTGCT